GAACTTTGACGATACGATATCATGATATTCTGGTTATTGTTACATCCCTAGTCTTCACTAAAACTCCAGTTGACAAAATTGAATTTTTTCTTTTGTACAATAGTAAGAGTAATTCTATATATTACCCACCTCTAGTTTAGTTTAGTTTATTTATTAAATGAGACACGGACAGTGAACAATATACATTAACCTTAACATTAGCACTAGTCTTAATTTTCACCTGCAGTCCCTGGGCAGGCTGATATTATAGTTTATAAAATCAAACATACACTGTAAACCCAAATGTTCAAAGTAATCAAATGATTAAGTTGAGTATACTCACAGTTTTAGAAATAGTCCAACTAACTTAATTATGTCAAGTTGCTGTAACATATTCTGCTTTTTGAGTAATTTTAACTTGAAACTGTTGTGGGTATAAGTGAGCATGAATCAAAAACATAGATGAGGTACAATTTAGAATTAATTAAATGCTAGGAGTGATAAAGTCCTGTTATTTCAACAGTTTCAAATAGGGATGATGTAAAAATAAATTTAATTTATACAGTGCTTGCTAAAATACAATACAATGTCAAAGTGCTTTATGAAATAAGTTCTAAAATCTATCATAACAAATATACATGCAGTCATAATAATTTGAGGCAAACGGTCTGAAATGCACATGGGACGAAATGTATTGTATTGTTTTATTTTATATAATTATCTTGGTAACACTTTATAATAACTACACCTTACTTAGCCTTAATAAAGCATGAACAAAGACTTAATTAATAATGAACAAAGATTTAATTAATAATGTTTCACGCTTAGTAAATGCTTAGTAAAGCATAATTCGTCTTCACTTTAGAAAAGCTCTCAAAAAGACTTAACACATAACAGCTGCCTGAATTATCATTGCATTGCATTATTAGTAAATCATTGTCTCATAGCTTACTAATGATTAATAAATGCTCAAATGGTTAGTCCATGAGTAATTAAGTATGAAATAATTATGAGTAACTATGAATCATTATTAATTAAGTCTTTGTTCATTATTAATTAAGCCTTTGTTCATGCTTTATTATGGCTAAATAAGGTGTAGTTATTATAAAGTGTTACCATTATCTTTAAGTCATAGTAAATGAAAATAACAGAGTTGCTTTAACAGAAAACAGAGTCATATTCACTGCAAATATGTGACTTTTAAGTTCATCCACTCAAAATAATTGAGGTAATCGACTGCCTCAATTATTTTGAGTTCTGGTAACTTATTCAGGTTTACAGTGTACAAATAGAATGTCTTTATAATGCCCGGATCGTCATAAAAATCCTTATTATTATTATCCACTCTTAATTGTTATTTAATATAAGTAATTATTTCTATACAACTTTACAAATACAGTCAGAACACTAAAAAGACGGCAAAGCTACATTAGATCAATCTCTATCCAATTCCGCTTAAGACCCCATTAGAAATGCTATGGCCTTGTTATAACACTGACATAATCAATTGTATAATATCCCCGTGTGAAGTAGCGAGTAAGGCAGAAGTCTCACGCTGCGCAGAGATCTGTCATAAAGGAGGGAAATGATAATGGGGCCTCCAGAAATGAGCCTTCGTCTTTGAGACTTTGAAGAACTTCCTGGTGATTTAAAATCCACAGATGAGGAACACACCCACCCACATGAGACAGCGGCAGGAGGTCATGAGGGACAAGATGAAGCTAATTACGATCTGTGTGGGAAATACATATGTTACAGGGCTCGTCATGTTTACTATAATGACAGTGAGAGGTCGGCGCTCATTTGGCCTGTATGTGCGGGAGGGAGTGTAGTCAAACACTGAACCAATATGTGATGCTCAAAACTTTATTGTGAACAATTTAGAAGAGACCTACAGTAAATCGATGGGCTGGTGGTCTCTTCAGGGGAGACAGGAACAGCTCAAAGGGCTCCCATCAGGTTGTAGTTTGCAGTTGGTGTTGTTTTGATGTCTCCATTAGGTGTTCTATGAAAGGATGAGTGGAGAGGACTGAGAAGGGGACTGGATCATCTGGCCCACAGCCCAGGTCCTGATATACACCAACCAGCTGCTTTGTGTACTCAGTGTGGGCGTCCTTTGTGATACTGCTGTGGCTGATGACAGTCAGAAGTGCAGGTATAGACACTTTTTGTTTTCCCAGAAAAGCACTTAAAGAAGAGCTTTCACCTTGACTAGACTCAGCATCCAGTTCTGGGGAGTTGAACTCTGAAGGTTCATCTAAACTTGGCATCAACTGGACAAGCTGGGTCAAAGAGGACTGATGGAGACGATGCCCTAGAACCACAGTGAGCGCCCTGAGAAAGCCCTGTTTGGGGTTTAGATCAGCAGCAAGGTACAGAAGCCTGGATGTATAATTGAGACGTGGAGGGCTGAGAGAGTGGTCAGCAAATAACTGGAAGAAGAATTTGAGCAAGTTATAGAAATGATTTTGAGGTTGTGGCTCAGAGGGGTCCAGGACAGTCCCTTCAGGAAACCACAGCTGTGCCTGTAGAAACTCTTCTTCACTGACGTATCCTTTGTTTTCAATATCCGCTGCCTTCAAACGCTGCAGAGCATCTAAAAGCTGTGTTATAGAAGGTGAGGGCCATAGCTGGGCACAACTGAGCATGAACCGATGCCAATCCACACACTCATATTTATCTTTAAATAAATCCTCAATCCATGCCAGCTCTATCTCCGTGAGCTGCTTTTGGGTGGTTCTGAGCCAGGTTCCTGATAAAGCAATTCTGTTCTCGCTTGAAATCATGATATTTTTGAGCAGATTAGAAAACTCCACATATGACAAAAGACCGTTAGGAGCCACACTCCTGAACTGCAGACAGAGTGATTCCAGCTGGGTAAAGAGCAGAGTGCCCTGTGAAGGAGCTTCTGAAGGTGGACGAGACAGAGGCAATGCCACCATGTGGTAGTCACCATTTAAACTGAAATGAGTCCCATCCAAAACCAACCTATACAGCAGTTTAGCTCCAGACTCTATGTGGTGCCGCACCACTTCTGCTAGTTCTTCAGTTCTCTTCATTTCATTCTCAAAATGCTCTTCTAACAGCTCGTCCATGGAGGAGAATGTGTGCTTTGCCTCAGACTGAATCAAATCTACTAAGTGTAAACCGTGACCTTTGACCAGGCTCAAACGCACCTTAGCTGCCTTCTGCTCATGACTGAGGGCGGCATTGCATTGTGTCATTGATTTATCTATAATTTTGATTTGAAGAGTGTGAAAAACGTTTGGTGAGAATAAAAAATAAAAGTAAAATACAGAAAGTACTTGTGTCATTGTACCTTTAGTTGCTTCCTACTATCCGTGATTGTCTGTGACCTGCTCCCGCGCCGTCATTGAGCTAATGTTACTATCACGTCCGCAGAGCTAATGTCAACAAAAGCACAAATTCACTCTCAAACGTTGCTTCATGAACTGTTAATGCAGTAACAATGTCCAGGTTATTAAATAAACTTAATGGATCCTAGTTTTAATCACTTGTTTGAGACATCACAGTTATTTACCGAGAGATGCAATTCATCAATAATATTTATTATTTTAACTATTATTACTTTATTTTAATTATTTATATTCAGTTGTCTGTAGTAAGTCTAGGAAAAATGAGAAAATATCCCAGTTTTCTCCATCTACATGTCATTGTAGTGCTCCGTTATGTTCGGCTAATCAACAATTACAACCATACATCAGTTTTCATCATTTCCCCACTGACACACAACTCCAAGCGCACTGGGTACATGCGATTAGAAGAGGTAAGGACAAATTCAAGATGATTCCAAACAACACATACGTCTGCAAGTTTTCATTTTACTGCTGATCACATTTACTTCAGCGGGTTTGATCACAGTTGGTCGGTGAGCCCAGTGTCGGAAACTACACTGGAAGTTGTCATCGCATGTTTCCAAACGTCTTCCTGGTTTGTGACGTAAATGTGAATAGAGTTTTTGACAAAACCTGCTTGCTTTTATACCTCCTGCAGTTACGTAGGCTTTTACAGGTAACTTTCAAAACTCTACAGCTAGTCTCCTAAGTTCCATGTGTGCAGAAAATAAACTATAAACTATATAAACTAAATACACCAAAACAATGAAACAAAACATAACTTAACCCAGGTCTCTCCCCTTCACATGGTCCAGCCCACGGACTTCCCCCAGAGGCTTTAAAAATAGCCGACATGGGGCTTTTGTCTGGACCATGTGAAGCTGCAGGTAAGTATAGTGAATAGGGGTGTAACGATATCCAAGTCTCACGATACGATATCATCACGGTATGAACCTCACGGTACGATATTTATTGTGATATTGTAGGAAAGCTCACGATATGGTGGGGAGGCGATATTCAAATCTCTTGGTACGATATTTTCACGACATACATCTCACGGTACAATATTTATTGCGATATATTGTGGAGGCTAATAAAACTGTGAATATGCAACTTTTTCCTTTTAAAATGCCTTGACAAGATTTAATCCAAAGAACTAAGACTTAAAAGTACTTAGAACTGCTATTTCTTCTTGTAGTCTGCACTGAAATGGAGCAAAGGATCATGGTCTATGTAGTTCCCTCTGTCTTTTTTTTAGCTATTGCTGCACCATAACTCTTCATTTAAGCAAAGAGACTTGTAATTCGATGTATTGTGATGGTCCACGGTATTATTGTGAGAACTCTGACGATACAATATCACGATATTTCGGTTATTGTTACATCCCTAATAGTGAATATGGATGTAACTGAAATAATTAACAAATAATGAACAAATTAACAAGTGTGTGAAACTAAATGAATCCTTGCTTAATGGGACAAAAGCTGACTTTGTCACAGGGGCATTTAAAAGAAATATTGTTAAAATGTAGATTTCTGTAATACATCGAATGCTCGGGTTTAGTCACCAGCAGAAATAATCAGAGCATGTGTAGTTTGGAAATAAATATTCTAACTTACTATTGTGCAGCCCAATTTACAGCTACAAGTTTTATCTTCTACTCACTTTTGAAGGCTGGACAATCACATTTGTTGACGGTTGCCCGATGTTCTTTGTCTGCATCCTCTGCTTTTGCTCCTCCACCGTTTCTCCTGAAGGACAAAAAGACGTAATAAGTCCTTGTTAACTTTACACAAGAAATTAAAAAGAAATAAATTAAATAAACAAAAAATATTCTAATTTTATGCCCAGAAAGATTTTTAGTGACTCAATTTAGAACAACATCTCTTCCATTTTATAATAACTCATGATTATAAATGTGAAAATGTAAAACGATACAGTAAAAATGTAAGAAGCAACAATATGAGATGTAAACTTATACTTCATAAACAATAATCCATAAATACTGTTTAACGTCAACCACAAAATGAACTTTTAAATCCTAAATATATTAAATTAGTTATATAGGTGTGATCAATTTGACAGTGTATTGTAACAAGTTTGTTAGTTAAGTAAAAGTACAGATACTGGAGCAAAAAATACTCAAGTAAAAGCAAAAGTATCACATGGAAAAATATATCTGAAGAGTAAAAAGTAAAAGTATTTCACGCAGATTTTGAGATGTAATAAAGCTTCAAATGTTGTGATTTTGATACAGAATTGTGCTGAATATTGTTCAACAGAAAAAAAAATTTCCACACTGTTTTTATTTTTTCTGTATATTTTTGTTTGCTCAAATTACAAATGTGTTAAAAAATAAACCTCTCTGACTTTTCAGCAGATCTCAAACTATAATAATAATAAATAAATACTTAAGTTAAACCTGTAGTGGAGTAGAAAGTGCAGATACAGGCTCTCAAATGTAGTGAAATAAAAATACTTTACTGCTTTTGCTTTGTTATGTTCCACCGCTGAGAGTCTTAAAGTGAAGACATGATTTTCTTTCATTCTCGTTAATCCATTCGTCACAATTATAGCAGATCACATTATGTGCCCTTCACACATCGGTGTTTATTGTTCTACCAGCATCAAAAACATATTTAATTTAGTATAGATGTCAAAACAGCACGTATTCTTAGAACGTGGCTCTATTTTCTACTTGTTCTTGGCTCTTGATGTAGGTCCAGTTAATTAGACCTGAGTCGCCAGGGGAATAAAACATAGAAGGGTGGACAGAGGGAGGGACTGTGGGGCCATTTTATACCACAACTTCTCTTTTTTTTTTTTTTTTTTAAGACAATACAGTAAAGCACAGGTGTCAAACATAAGGCCCGGGGGCCAGATCTGGCCCTCCAAGACCTTTAATGTGGCCCTTGGGTGATTTTCTACTAAAATATTTTAATTATATTTTCTATTAAAATATTATTAATTTTCTGCGATGCTGAGCATAGCAGTGTCTCCAGAGCCTCTGTGCGTGGCCCCTCCCACCAGAGCAGCACAAACGAAGACTTGTGTATTTCCAAAACGCTCTTAAAGGACGATCGTTTTGACTGTTGACCGTGACACCCTCATCAGCAAAATGTCCAACATGAGAAAAGTGAAGCCGAGTGCAGGATTTACCAAGAAAAATTTACTTATTCTTGTTTGCAAACAAGTTAATGTTAAAACATTGTGTTGAAATTGAATTTTTCTTAAAGTTTCAGGTTGTTCATAATATTATAATATTATATTAAGAAAGAGTTCATCAATTTAAAAAGATTTCTGTAATAGATTTGCGTTTCTCTGCACAAATATTTGAACTTCTTGTTATTTTTGGGGTTTATATGACATGAGTTTTCTGATCCGGCCCCTTTGGGATCAAAGTAGGTTGGATACGGCCCCCGGACCAAAATGAGTTTGACAACCCTGCAGTAAAGTCTATTTGCCTTGTTGACATGTTCACTGTCATCAGAATTGTCATCAACATAAATACACCCAAGAAGTATATAAGAAGACAAAATTAACATGTTTGGTTTAATTTTATACCAGTTATTTGTGTCAGAACAATTTATCTAAACTTTTAAAGAGGCTGTACTTGATTTTGACATGGAAAAACAGAACTAGTGAATTTTAAAGTGGCCATATTACACTATTTTCTGATCTTTGTTGTAGCGCTGCGTCCTCATCACAAACATACTTGGAGTTGTGTTTTGCTTCTTTTATACACAAATTCTTCACAAATTTTGACTTTGAGTTCTTCTCTCAAACTGAAAACACTCCATTCCATCTTGTGACGTCATGTGGTAATACAGGAAGTGCTCCACTGTGTTTTCAAACTCCATACACCATCACGAGAATCATTTGGATGACAAATTCAGCTGTGGAATTACCAATCGCAGAATTACAAAAATGAAAAGTCCTATATTGCGCAAAATTTACTCTTGTTAAGTCAAGTTAAAATCCCGTTTCTGTGTCAAAAACAGACCTGGAGTTGTGTTTTGTTTTATTCACACATATTTTACTCAAACATATGTGAATGAAACAAAACCTCCTTTCCTTCCTTTCCCTCATTTCCATCCTTTATTATTAGTCTGTCGACATCTCCAAATCTTAAAATGCTCTGTTCCACCTTGTGATGTCATGAAGCGGTAGTTTTCAAGTTAACGGCTACATTTTACCTTTTGTTTACCAGAGATTTAGCAATTCCAGGGCAGAAATTACCCAAATGATTCTAATGTAGGTGTATGGAGTTTAAAAACACAGTGGAGAACTTCCTGTTTTCTATTTGAAAGAAAAACACGGCCTAAACATGTATAAATGAAACAAAACACAACTCCAGATTTGTTTTTGACATGGAAACAACATTATACCACGAATTAAAGCTCCAAAGAGTCATTTTGGACCAAGTTTGGACAAAGTTATGTTAACTTTTATGGTGAAACGTTCTCCATCTGCTTGTCTCCATGAGGATATCACTTTTCCTGGAACGTTCCTCAGTACAGTATTATATTTATCACATTTATTACATAGTGTTTCTATAAAGTACAGTCCTACGATGTGTAACTGCACTGTTTACTACAAACTCACGCCATGGCACTTTTTGTTTTTTTAACCACAAACCCATAAAGGAAGTGTGTAGTCACGTTTTCTCAGTTTTCTCTTCTTCTTAAAGTGTTTAAATAACGCTTTGTAAGTGTTTTTAGGCAGCAGATCAAACAAAACAAAACAATGGCCCATGCTGGAGATTTAAGTCCGATAACCGATATCCTAATAACTAGGGGTGTGCAGAAATATCTAAATATCGTATCGCTTAATACATTTTTTCCCAAAGACTGGGCTGCGACCCTCAGTTGGGTTGCAAGACTGTTTTTTTTTTGGGTCGCCCTGTCATGATCTGTGCACTGAATCTCCACACACCCCTGCTCCTCCCTTCTTCAGCAGCACCCTCTTGCCTATCCAGTTTTCTGTGGGAAACACCGATTACTGTTTTTCCTTGTTTAAAACTTGAGTACCGAGACGCACATAAAATCCCTTAATTTTCTAAAAAAAAATCGACAGAGCACTTTATAAACCTGATGCACCTTATGTATTAATTCTGGTTGTGCTTACTGACCTCCAACCGATTTTCACAAACATTCCACTGAGTCGTGTCCTTTAGATCGACAGAAACTGAACCGCATCAGCGCACAAGGAGCAAGCGTTTTTTTATCGCTTATAGTTTATGCAAATTAACCATGTGTTTTTAAGTTTCGTTTCTGTAAAATGTAAACAAATGCGCACAAAGCTGCATTAAACACATTATTACTTAATGTATTTTTGAGTCCTTCTCGTAGGAAATAAAAAAAATCTTAAGTCTCAAGTGTCGTCCGTTTGTTTCTCTTAATGCGCCTTATAATCCGAAAAATACGGTAATACTGATTGTTCAGAGAGACACGATCGCTCAGTCAACAATAAACTATCCTCATTAATGTTCAATAATGGTCACAAATTTATTTTATGACTTGGGTTGCAAAGGTTTGTGACTTTTAAAATATGAGTCCCCAGAAAAAAAGTTTGGGAAACACTAGATTAATTTGATGATGCAGTATTCGATATTGTTGGCTGCTGTATCGAAGAGTAATTTTTTTGTATATTTTACTAAATTATTTTGTTACAGAGCTACAGTTTTGTTGCTTGTTTAGTGGAAGGAAACTCTTTTATGCGACACATTTGACATTTTCACTGTTTTGAGGATTAAAATGTTTGTGTTTCATATGAACTTTGCACAAGAAGTGGTTTAACAAAGACTTTTAGTGTCACAGCCATGATTTAGCCTTTATTTTTTTATTGAAATGTGTTGAATCGATTTGAAATATATCGTATATATCATATATATCATATATATCGTAGTCGCAAAGGTTTGTGACTTTTAAAATATGAGTCCCCAGAAAAAAAGTTTGGGAAAAATTGTATTAATGTGAAAATACAGTATCGATATCGTGGGCTATATCGCCAAGAGTAATTTTTGGTATATTTTACTAAATTATTTTGTTACAGAGCTACAGTTTTGTTGCTTGTTTAGTGGAAGGAAACTCTTTTATGTGACACATTTGACATTTTCACTGTTTTGAGGATTAAAATGTTTGTGTTTCATATGAACTTTGCACAGAAAGTGGTTTAACAAAGACTTGTAGTGTCACAGCCATGATTTAGCCTTTATTTTTTTATTGAACCGTGTTGAATCAATTTGAAATTTATCACTGTGCACTGTATCGATTTATATATTGTATCGGCAACTTCTTAAGGAAACCCAGCCCTAAAATAAGTCCAAATATTTCTAGTAAGGAGCTTTTAGTTTTGACGTGACAGTAATTTTCCAGCTCTGCTCCTGTGGGACGTACAAGGCCCAGACCTCTTTGTGTGACTCCAGATCGGCTCATCTGAACCAGCAGCTGCTCAGACAACACTTTCCCCCGGCACAAGTGACGCGTTCATTGTCTTCTGTTCGCTCCTGTTACACAAGCGCTTATCTGATAACCGCAATAATAATGAATATAATAATATAATGGGGATCAAATGTTGCGTGACGTGGCAGGACTGAAAAATACGAAAGTCCCGTATTACGCAAAAATTACTCTCGTGAGCTTTAGTCATGTTATAATGTGGTTTCCTCAGCAAAAACAGACCCAGAGTTGTGTTTTGTTTCATTCACACACATCTGAATAATCATCAAGCTGTGCAATGAATTGAACTT